CCCCCCGCAACCACCCTTCTACTTTCAGTCTCTACTCTCTGGAATTCATTATCTTTTAAATGGAAGAGATTTGGGTTCTTCTAGAGTGTTAGAAATCTCTCGAGAACTTTCCAGGTGTCTAGACTGGCTCTTCCCCCAAATTGGGACATTTGATAACTGGGCCTGTAGTGAAAAGAAAAGAAATACTCTGTCCTAAGACTTGGAAACAGCATCATTACTTTTCTAAGCCTGACTTCGTATTTGCCTTTAACAGCTTTCAAGATCTTTGTGTTTTGGTGGAAACCATGTCCCAGTATTTTATCTACGTCTCTTAAATCACAGTGAGGAAGAGAAAAGGATGTGAGATAGTTTATTTATCTGATTATTATGCTGGGTGCTGATGGTACCCAAGTCAATAAAAATAGTATTTTCTGCCCTCAAGGAGATTTCAAGTCTAGTGGGAGAGGCAGACACAGAAACACTTTAAGTACAGTGTGGTAACCTATATAACAAAGGTATTTATAAAGTAATATGGAAGCTTGGCAAAAATAACCAAAGAATTCTTCCTAGGGAATAGGGTAGCACTTCTCAAAGCGTGTTTGGGAAAATTAATCGTGTGAAATGCTTTGAAAATGTGGTCAAATACATTGGGTAAATGCTGTATAAAATATTGTTTCACTTGGAGAGTCATAATCCACATTAGCATATTAAAAGCTCTGAGAAGTACTTTAGTAAAGAAACTAACTTTGTATTTTCCAATTTTTTTATTGTGGTAAAATAGATAACATTTACCATTTTTAAGTTTATGGTTCTGTGGCATTAAGTACATTCACATTGTTGTGCAACAATAGCCACTATCTGTCTCTGAAATATTCCCAGGTTTTAGGGCTTAATGTTGTTCGTGGTTATACTTAATTGTCTCCATGGTGGTAAAAGTTTACGTGGGACCTAGCTACAGCCAGGTACCTGCTCAAAACAAAAGAAAGGTTGAAGGGAATGAGGACTGTATTTAAGCTAGATTGTAGTGTATCCTACTTCCTTTTTTCTTTCTCTGTACATAGCCTGTCTTATCTCTAGCTTCTTCCCTTCACCATCCCTCTGCCCCCATTTAGAATATCCCATACAAGTTAATGTCTTGCTTCCTCATCTATATACTGTATTTTTTTTTTCTTCCTGTTTGGTCCTGACTGCTGTTCCTGGGCTGCATTATTACTGTTGCCAGAATGTGATGAGGTCTATTTCCTGTAATGTGCATCAGGTGGGGTTTAATTTCAGTCAGAATTGGCTAAATTACTAGTCATAGGCAAGAGCTATTAAGTTCATTTTATAGATATAGAAATAGAAATATAGCCATTGTTAGGATTTTTTAAATGTCATTTGAAATGTAAAGATTAGGAACAAATTTTGGAGGTTTTTTTTGTTAAGCTTGGCTATATTGAAACTATTTCTTGCTCCTGAGGCCAGGTAACCCTAAATTATCACCTTCATTCTGGTTATGCTCACGGCTGGGGCCCTTGTTAGCTGTCTTGACTAAGCTCAAAAAGGGGTTTGTTGGGGAGACAGGAAATCTCAGCTCTAAGTATGTTAGTACAAGAGGTCTTTTATTTTTTTTCCTCTGAGAGAAAAAAAATTGTCTGATCTTCTTGGGCATTTGACCTGTCAAGATTTTTTCCCCCTCTCTTTGTTTTTTCTTTTTTTTATTGCTTTTTATTTTAATTCCAGTAAACATACAGTGTTATTTAAGTTTCAGATGTGCAATATAGCGATTCAACAATTTTGTTCATTACTCAGTACTCATTATTATAAGTGGACTCTTTAATCCCCATCACTTATTTCACCCATCCCGCAACCTACCCCCCTTCTGGTAACTATCAATTTGTTCACTGTAATTAAGAGTCTGTTTCTTGGTTGTCTGTCTCTCTCTTTCTTTGCTTATTTTGTTTCTTAAATTCTACATATGAGTGAAATCATGTGGTATTTGTCTTTCTCTGATTTATTTCATTTAGATTATGTTCTCTAGCTCCATCCATGTTGTTGCAAATGGCAAGATTTCATTCCTTTTTATGGCTGAATAATATTCCATTTTATACATCTTTTTTTTTTTCCCTTGGGAAATCATCATGG